CGCCAAAAATCGGGTAAATTCTCCTGTAGTGTGTGACGGCCTTTCGAGAGGACGGACGGATCCAGACGTGTCCTGTGAGGGTTAGAGAGGACAGAGACACAGAGGACACCGGCGTCTCGTGTCCAAAGTGCAGAGGTGGGTAGATTAGTCGGAAAACGTACGCAAGTAAAAGCAGCGTTAAAAAAAAGAAAGTATTTGTGAAATTTTAGCACGACTCAGAGATAAAACTGAAAAAAACTGAAGAACAAATAAATAAATCTAGTGTTTTCAAAGATTGACACTAAAATACGGTGACCAGATTTTCCAAAACTGGGACACACTCGGGTTGGGACGGTTTCTCGTAAATAAAACGGTGAAAAGAGCGCGCAACGTTGTCCTTTCTCAACTCACTTGTGGGTTTGTCATCATAGATCTTTTTTCACGATGCCTGGAAGTGCGGCGATGTCGGGTAAACGTCTCCGGCAGCTTCATAAATCTGCCCCATCACCAAATCTTCAACCAAAAAAGAATTTATCTACAACTATCAAGGGAAGCAAGACGAAAACTTAAAGATGAACAATAATGCGCATCTCACGGTGATATTTTAGAGACGTGACACTTTTTTGCTTTTAAAATACCTTGATAAGATTTTGGTGTGAATTATTTCCATCATAATCCCAAGAATTCAAGTCAAAAACATGTTTCTTCATGTTGTCTGCGCTGAAATGAATCATGGGAAATGTAGTTTCCGATATTTTAAAGCTGTTGCTGCTTATAAAATCATGCGTTTAAGCAAAGAAATTTCGATAATTTGATATATTGAGATGCTCCACGATATTATTGTGAGACTTTTGACGATACGATATCACGATATTTCGGTTATTGTTACATCACTAGTCAAGACCAGAACTAAGAGAGACCGAGACCAGTTCGAGACCAGGACAAGACCAAGACCTCTGAGGGTCAAGAGCGAGACAAGACCAAGACCACGGTCCATCGAGACCAAATCGAGACCATCTTTGTAATTTTCTACATTTATTTGTATTTTACAGTTATTTTGGCACATTTATGTCAATGTTTTTATAAATCTGTCTCCATTTTATTACTTGTCAAGTGTCTGACCTCGAGACTGAGACAAGACCGAGTCCAAACGCGGTCGAGTCCGAGACGAGACCAAGACCAGACTCGAGTACTACGACAGTAGTTATGGTATTGAATAACATACAATTAAAAATCTATTTCATGATGTCGATATTACCATAGACAGAGAAATTTGTGCAGTTAAAATACTAGACATGTGATCTGTAAACATCTGTAGCATTTGAACTGCACAAATCTCTGTCTATGTTAATATCAACATCATGAAATAGATTTTTTAATTTAATTCTAGAATCAGTTTGAGTGAACAAGTTACTTATTACTTACGTTATTCGTTATCATAACTAGTGTCGTAGTACTCGAGGCTGTTTTTTTGCAGCCTTGGTCTCGTCTCGGACTCGACCGCATTTGGACTCGTTCTCGTCTCGGTCTAGAGGTCTGACACTCAACAAGTGATAAAATGGAGATAGATTTATAAAAAACATCGATATGGACAATTTGTGTCAAAAGAACTGCAAAAAAATTACAAATAAATCTCGAAAATCACAAAGGTGATCGCGATTTGGTCTCGATGCGCCGTGGTCTCAGTCTCGTCCTTTAAAAGTCTCGGTCTTGTCTCGCTCTCAACCATCAGAGGTTTTGATCTTGTCCTGACCTTGGGACCCTGTGGTCTCAGTCTCTATTAGTTGTGGTCTTAACAACAACATTAACTATAACAAAGTCGTTCTCTATTGCGTCGTCGTTGTTCATCTTTAAGTTTTGGTCTTTCTTCTCTTGATAGTTGTGGATAAATTCTTCTTGTTGGTTGAAGATTTGGTGATGGGGCAGATTTATGAAGCCGCTGGAGAATACGACACACATTTACACACATATTTTGCCGTAGAAAACCATAAACCGTAGGTGACGTTTACCCGACATCGCCGCACTTCCAGACGTTGTGAAAAAGTCTATCTGAGGAACTTCTGTTGGTGCATTTTCAAGCTCTGTTTTGTGTATTTTTAGTCAAACAAACCACAATTTAATCCTCTCTTTACCGTCGGCAGGGATCAGATTGGCCAAAAATATTGACCCCTGGGAGATTTTTTTGTACAAAACTGCGACAAATCAGTAGTTTTGGATAAATCTGCTGCGCTCAAACTCACTTAAATGTGTAAAACTAAATCGTATCTGAGGAAACGCCGCGAGAAACTTTAAATATACGAAAACTTTTGTCATCACAGTGCGAAGAAGAACCAACTTCGGTAACTTCAATAAACTCAAAATTAAACGTACACCCACCCACCTCTGCCAAAAGCGAAACTGGGCAAACTCGAACATGGAGTGCGTAAAAGACCCGCCTCCTCTACGGAAAAAACAAAAACAAAACGTGTCCAATCGGAGTGAGTGAGCTTTGCGCGAGCCAATCAGAGGCGAGTTTAGTGAGGAAGCTTTAAGCGAGCCAATGGGGGAGTAGATTAAAGTCGTACACATGCTCAGTCCGTGTTCTTTTTTAAAATATTTTTTTTAACATCGCTCGGTCAGAAACATCGCCGGGGGAAAACGTGTTCGAACGCAAAACTATAAACCGCGTGAGCTTTTCGTCTCGTTCCGGACTTTTCTACAGGATGAACGGTGGTTTTTCGAGTAAGACTGTCGGCTTCTTTGGTGATGTCGGAAAAAAAAAAACGAAAAGACGTGAGCACCAGTCGTGGCGGCGTTTGGCTGCGGCGTTTTCTTCGGCGTTGGCTGCTCGGCGAAGGCGCAGCGTCGCGTGGCTCGTCCTGATTTCGGTCCTCGGGTTTTTTTTTGCACAAACAGCGAATGGGAAAAACATGCGAGCTGCAGCGGCGGAGGTCCAGGAGAGCCGTGTTCTCGATGAACGGTACCACATGGAAGGCAAAGTGTTACTAAAGACGCACTGCGGGGCTTTTCCGGACGAGGGTCGGACGCTGGCTCGTCTCCGTTTGGGCGTTGAGGCGGATTTATGAAACAAAATCGACTTTTCAGAGATTTTCTACAGGTTAAAGTCATTTTTTTCCCTCACTGACCCTCTGAAGATGGATTTGGAGTCAGTCCTGGTTTAGTCCTGGTTCAGTTGTGGTTTAGTTTTGGTTTAGTCCTGGTCCAGTCACAGTTTAGTCTTAGTTTAGTCCTGGTTTCGTCCTGGTTCAATAGCGGTTTAGACCTGGTTTAGTCTTGGTTAAGGTGCAGTTTAGTCCTGGTTTAGTCCTGATCCAGTGACAGTTTAATCCTGGTTTAGTCCCCGTTTAGTCCTGATTCAGTCCTAGTTCAGTCGCAGTTTGGTCCTGGTTTAATCCTGGTTTAGTCCTGGTTCCATCCTGGTTTAGTCCTGGTTCAGTCGCAGTTTAGTCCTGGTTTAGTCCTAGTTTAGTCCTGGTTCCATCTTGGTTTAGTCCTGGTTCAGTCATGGTTTAATCCTGGTTCTTTTGCTGTTTAGTTCTGGTTTAATTCTAGATGAGTCTTGGTTTAGTCCTAGTTTAGTCACAGTTTAGTCCTGGTTTAGTCCTGGTTCAGTCATGGTTTAATCCTGGTTCTTTTGCTGTTTAGTTCTGGTTTAATTCTAGATGAGTCTTGGTTTAGTCCTAGTTTAGTCACAGTTTAGTCCTGGTTCAGTTGTGGTTCGGTTCTGGTTTGGTCCTAGTTTTGGTATTTTGGTAAATTTAATCTTTATATAAATCTAAATAGTTTCCTTGTATTTTTTTTTCCGGATAACATCTACACGGAGACGAGCGAACGGCGAGCCCCTGAATTAGAAAAGTTCCGCAGTGCCGCTTTAAGTGAAGTGTGGTAAAAACAGGACCCATGCACTGGAAGCTGTGAGTGCATAGTTACGGGGAGAGCGGAGAGAGAGGACCAGCCGAGCGTATGTTACAGGCGAGGTCGGACAGTCACTAAAGGGAGGCGAGGGATCGTAGTGCAAGCTCAGAGTCTGAAAGTGAGTCCAGACTGTGATGTCCAGATGCTACAAGGCACACCAAGAGCCCCAGAAGAACCCAGAAGAACCCGAGGAGAACCCGAGGAGATCTCAGGAGAACCAAAGGAGAACACGAGAGATCTCGGGAGAACCCAGGAAATCTCCAGAAGATCCCCAGGAGAACACAAGAGATCCCAGAAGAACTCAAGGAGAACTCAGGAGATCCCAGAAGATCCCCAGGAGACCACAGGAGAACCCAAGAGATCTCAGGAGAACCCAGGAGTTCCTAGGAGAATCCAGGAGATCCCAAGAGAACCCAGGAGATCCCCGGGGAACCCCAAGAAATTCCAGGGGATCCCAAGAGAACCCCAGAAGACCCCAAGAGAACCCCAGGAGAACCCCAGAAGATCCAAGGAGAACCCAGGAGACCCCTAAGAAAACCCAGGAGAACTCAGGAGATCCCCAGGAGTTCCCAGGAGAATCCAGGAGATCCCAAGAGAACCCAGGAGATCCCCGGAGAACCCCAAGAGATTCCAGGAGACCCCAAGAGAACTCCAGGAGATCCCAGATGAACCCAGAAGATCCCAAGAGATCCCAGAAGATCCAAGGAGAACCCAGGAGACCCCTAAGAAAACCCAGGAGAACTCAGGAGATCCCCAGGAGTTCCCAGGAGAATCCAGGAGATCCCAAGAGAACCCAGGAGATCCCCGGAGAACCCCAAGAGATTCCAGAGACCCAAGAGAACTCCAGGAGATCCAGATGAACCCAGAAGATCCCAAGA